CGTTTTGCTTTTAGCCTGGGTTTGCTGAACCTGGCCTTTCCATCACTATTAAGGTATTAATGGTTTGGCACTGAACAGTGCCAAGACATCAGGCTGCAACATTCAGATCCAGTCTGGCATGAAGCAAGAAACCTCACAGATAAAGACCTGGTACGAGGCAGACCTGATAAACAAGGATAATGCTGCATGGCATACAACTAGCAGAAGAGAGGGTGGCAAAGAGAAGATAATTTTCAAGCATGTGGTATTTTTAGCAACACTCAACCAAAATGCCTTAGACATCAGTTTCAAGCCACTTAATCCTCTTAATGATATGCCATGGCATTTGTTTATGATTAGGGTTTTGTTTTGTTTTCTATGTAAGATTCCCCTTAGACACTCAAATTCAATGATCTTTTTACACAGTTCTGTGAATATACTGAGTATTTGGTTGGAGTTTAGTTATCACAATGCTAAATTACTCCATCTAGGTCATTATTAATTCCCCTAATTTTACCATATTTCACCATCATTACAACAATGCGGCACCCTACGGATACATTTATTACAGCGCATAAATCCTGTGCTCATAGAAGATGCTGGAATGCCTAGTCTGCAATCTTTGTACAAAAGTCTAAGGAATGCTTAAAAAGAATTATCTTTAAGCCAACTTTTCTAAGGCTTACTTCTAGATTCCCATCCTCCACCCAACTATTACATTGTTGTGTGATGTTAGGTAAGTTCTCTGTACGTGATACTCTACTGCAGTACAGGCTATTGCTCAAGGCAAAACTCTTTCATAGTAAATTCACCAGGGAAGGGGATGGTGAAGAAAGAGCAGAGAGCATACTGCTGTACACAGCAACTTTCATTAAAGGAAAGCATTTATAAAAATAGATATTTAAAAATATCTTAATGCATGGTCCCCTCCCATTTCAAGGGCATAGCTGCTCTTACGTATTTTGTTCAACTCAGGTGTGTCAGGCAACAGCAGACCCTGCCCAGGGAATTCCTTTCTACTTAGCAACGCACACCTCTGCTAAAAGCATCTACTGATTCACTAACCAAAAAGTTGGAAAGCTACAAGTTTGAGCTCAGCTCTCTCTCTTACGAGATCACAGTGCTTAAGAGAGTATCAGACACCCACCTGAAGATGGAGTGCTTCTGCCTTCCTCTGTTCCAGATCAGTCACCCATCCACAGAAGGAAGTTACAATGGTTTTGTCTTAATAAAGCATTTTGGATATTACTCACTGCGAGTTCAGTAACTTATTCCGTACCTTTTTAGGTATTTACAAGGCTCTGTTTCCTTCATAGTGCCCTCCACGATGACAGGTACTATGTTTGCCTTCCTTCAGACTTCTGACAATTTCGCTGTTCCCCATGAGCTTCTGAGAGTCATCGTAAATAATTCTGTGGGTACATTTCAGAAGGCCGTGCTGACCCAAATATATCATGCTTATCTAAATACTCCTTATCTTGTTCTTGCCTTTGCTCATAACCCCTCATTACAGGGAACACTGTTATGGCTCTGACACAATTATTAACCTTCCTGCAAAGAGCAGTGTAAAATAATGGCATCTGGTATTTCTGTCTTCTCTGTCTACTCCATTATTTGTTTTTCTTTCCTCTTACTTCCAGTGCTTTTGTAAACCACTTCATAACCCTTTATTGCTGTCAGTGACTGTCTCCCAGTCCTCCCAATTTTGGCCTGTGCAGTAGCACAACTGATGTCCTTCTCAACCATACATCTTTTGCTTGCCAGCTTTGCACCCTTTCACATTAGTGAAAATCTCCCCAAGTAACCATGCCAGGTCCTTTTGACTTTATTTAGTAACAGGCTGATAGTAGAATTAGATTTATGGACTTCATAAAGGGCCTGACTACAACTAAGGAAGCAGAGACAACCTGTGAGCTACAATATGCCTCCTCTACGCGTTGCTCCAATGCAGAACTTAAGTTCCAAAGAAGCAAAACAGCTTTTTTTAATTCATTACGTTCTGCACTGACAATTCGAAGACAAGCTACATGAAATACCCTGTATTTCTGGCCTCCCAAGCTGTCTTCCAATAGCCCGCAGATCAGCTGAAAGAAATGCTCTTGTAAAAACTTCTCCAAACCAATTTCAACCACATCAGCACCTGTCCTCCACTTCCCATCTTCAGTTCCTCTCCTGAATATTCTGAGGGCATCCCTTTTTCTTCAGAACCTTCTGGATTTTGCACAGCTTGGTCAGAATCCCTCTTAATCTCCTCCATTCTAATGAATATAAACATAACTTTCTTAACCTCTCCTCATAGTTCATAACCCCTGTGTCCCTTTATCATCCTTGTTAAGGCTGTATCCATAATTAGGGTGTCTAGACAGATCAAAAGGAGCGAACAAGAAAGTGCCTACTTAATACAAATTGTTACATGAATAACCAACATCTCCCTCCCCCAGCAAACCCTTCCCACCCTGCAGCAAGTAAAGGGGTGAACCTGTGCACTCCGTGTCAGTGCTGCTGATTTCTGCTCATCAAGTGACTTGGCCAGGATGGCCTTTGGAGCTGCAGGGTGCAGCGCTCCTCCCAAGCACGCACTGCAATATTCAGCTTTCAGATATTTGTGCTAACTCATGACAGCTACACATACATATCCTCTGCAGGTAACTGGAAATTCACACCTGCCCATTTTACAGATCATATAAACTGCCCTCCGCTGCCCATAAATGGACTGTTTGGCATGGATACGCAGGTATGTCTACCCCATACACCTAGGGACATATTTAGTATTCCTTTTCATCAAGGAAAAGACACACTGCCTTAACCACATTTTATTACAGATTTGCTGATGAAGATAACATGTTGTCTGGCCTGCAGTGCTGGCTGTGGCCAGCGTTTGTTACTTGTATGGATTCTTGACTTCTCCACTGATAAGCAGCGTGGAGGCCTCCAAGAGCAGTCACAAGAATGACCCCCGGGGCACAGAAGATAAACACCTTGCAGGGGATACCACCATGTCCTTATGGATTATGCTATATGATATTTAGAATCTGGAATCTGTCATAGCAGATTAGATGAGTGCTCTGCTTAGACCAGAAACCTGAATCACAGTGGAAAAGCAGATGCTTCAGGGGACTGTTTGAGGAAACCCTGCAAATAGTTACAGAACACCTAAACCACCTAGGTTATTTTCTTCCTGATCTTGATAAACCAGAAAGATGACAGACAACCTGAAAAGGCAGAATTTTTGCTGCCTCTCTCATGCATCTCCATTTTCATTCTTATCATCGCATACTGCGTGGTCAAACTTCAGCTCTTGAGCTACTGCCCTTGGTGGCACCTTGTCATGATTTGTCCCTGAGCACTGGCAACTCAACAGCTCCTCCCAAACTCACAGTATATGAAATCACAAGCTCATGACCAATCTGCTGCTCTTTCAGGAGTTCCCCTGTACAATCTGCTCACACACTAGTGAATCACTCCCAGTGCTTTGCATAAGCAAATTTAAGGTATTTTATTATGGAAATGTATGCCAAAACATCTTCCCACAGAATTTCATGCTGTCATGGTATGATGCATTTATACAGGGTGGAGAGTGATGCACATTTTAGAGAACACAAGTCTTTGACCTGTTTGACGCAGGGCAATGATCAACGCAAGCATAAAAAGTAAAAATTCATTTGTCCTTGGCATGCTCTGTAGCTGAGTATCTGCTTCTCAGCAGGTATAGCCAGTAGTAATGATCTGCAGAAGGAAATGGTACTGAAACAGTAGCTCCTGTTAAGCTTACGACTCTATTTTTCTTTGACATTATTATCTATCAGAAGATTGTTACTATGAAGTATTATCTGCATATTTTATCACGCCTACGTTTACACCAGAGGAGCAAATCAGTGGATGAAAATAACTTTATACTCCTCCAAGAAATCACCGCTGCCTTTACAAGGTCTTCTCCTGATTATTTTTTATCTTTTTTTTTTTTTTTTTTAATCTAGGCTATTCCTCCAGTGCAGAGCTCTGCCCAGGTCGTCCCAGAGTTGAGCAACTGGAGACTGAGGCTGCAGGGAAATACAGCTGAACCACTTGTAGTTTGGGTCTGTTAAAACAAACAACTTTCTCACTCCTCTCAGGAAAAGAACAATCTTCTCGTCTCCTTCTGACAAATAACTGGAAATTCTGACTGTAAAGCAACTCCATGCAGAACAATTTGAGTAGTTACCCCCTAGCTATTATGACTATACTCTAGATGAAGATTTCACATTGTTAGAAGCTTAGAATAATTATGAGCATTCCATTTATTTTCCTTTGGATAAGTGACTGGACACTAGCACAAGACCTCTGCTGGTTGTTTTTTCTACTCTCCTTGTGAAGACAAGTTATAGGAGCACATACCTATTCCACATCCAACATTTAGGCAAGAGCAGTGATAGAGCTCAGCCTAGAGCAGACAGTTACTAAGCCAGAATACGTACACCACATTTTGGCAAAAAAGAAAAAAAAAAAAAAATCAATCTCATGAGCTTTTCTCTAGCTCCCAAGTCACAAAAGCTCATCCTGAGCCACAAGGTAATAGAATATCCAGTAACTATCAACATGCTCTCATTCTTGTCATTAGGATATAACTGGTTAGGATAGAGTCTACATGAAAGTTTAACTGGGTAATTACATAATGATGAAGATCTAAGAATAATATTCAAAGACCAGTTCATGAAATAAATTGCCAAGTACAATCTTGTAAATGCAAAGCCATCCCAAAAGGGGTAAGAGCTTCTTTTAGACTTGTCTGCTGGTTTAAAAAAAAAAAAATAATCCTATTCCCTTTTACTGGCAAAGGTGTTGGCTTGACAGCCCTGAAGAGTGATCTATTTATTCAATGTAATGCTGGCAGCAATGGTACACATTTCACAAGCAGTTCTTCCAATGTGCCCAGCCCTGTATCTATTTTCAGTTCCATCAGTAAGCTAAAGGTTAAAGCTATTTATTTAAACCCACACCCACATGCCATTTAAATTGACCCAAAATATTGCCTGAGCAGTAACCTCTCTGTATCCAAGTCCTCTCAGGGGCTGATTCTCCATTTCAGGCTCCAAAAATTCCTCCCTCACAGGATAGAACAGGGGTAAGGAGCATCTGCAAATAGAAATACAGCAGGAATATGGGTAGAAAGAGTTCATCTTCAAAGAATGCCTCTTGGTGTTGTGGATGCTGCAGAAAACTTCAGTTTTATTATAGAAATATCTGAAGTGTTTAGCTTCAGTCAAGAATGCAATGACAAAAGATCTCAGCATCATTCACATTTTAAGTATGGCTTAAAAAGAAAAACGTTACTCCTTATGTCTGCCTTCATGTTGCAGCTGGAATTGAACTCAGCCAAAGTAACCCCAAAATGTAGAAGGAAACGTAGACCCACAGTGTCAGCCTGCAATAAAAATGATGCTCTGCAAACAGCTCTCGCTGTGCCCGGGAGAACTGACGAAGAGCAGGAGCCTCTTGAAGTCATGCACCAGTTACATGAGCCAAGTGCCGTCCCAGGAGTGAAATTATTCTCTAGGCTGATAAAAGGCAAAGGAAAGGCAGCATCTGGCCTACAACATTTAGCCTTTTCTACACACTTTAATGCTGTACAAAGCACGGCAAAAGCAGAGCTTCCTCAGCCCCAGGAAGACAGCTCAGGATGAAACACAGCGGGGACACCATATGATGGGAGGCTCCTAATTACAAAACCTCCATCTTGCCTGTCAAAGCAACTGCACAGCATACAATGCAGCTCGTGGAGGAGTCAGGGAAAAACATGCAGAGATAAGACTAGAAATCCATCTCCAGATGCAAACTTCTCTGCCACTGGCTCTTGGATCCAACTCCAACCCACTAAAAAAAAAAAAAAAAAAAAAAAAAAAGATGTGCTCTGAAGTTTAGCATTTGTCCAACTCTGACTTTTGGTTTGGAGCCATTCACACAAACACATATTTGGTGCAGAATTTCAGTGCCAGTGGATCATAGACACCCAAATTCATCAGTGTGAGAATGCCTGGACACCAAGACTCACTCACATCAGCACAAAGCACAGACATGAGAAAAAAAGAAAACCACCAAAACTCAAGCGGTTTGAATTTAAATTGGTGTTTGCTACACGCGTAAGAAAGGCACTTTCTCTTTCAACCTATATACAGCACCTCATTATATCTTGATACTGTTAGTTGCTATTCAGGCGACCAGAAGCAAAGACACAGTACAATTAAAATAAAAACATTATTAAATCCATCAGTATCAGGGAGAGGAAGACCAACTGCAACAACACTGTGGCAACAGGCTGACAAAAAACAAAGGGAGATGACTCCATGCCCATGGATAAACCAGCACTGCTACAACAAACAGTTTCATCAGTTTTATGCTGAATAAGAAAGTGATAATGAATAGATTTTTATCACTGATTACAGGGCAGCCCCAGCCCTGTAAAATCACCATGTTCCAGGCTGTGTGGGGGTGGCACAGCTGGACATCTAACTTAAGAAACAATGGTAGATAATTAAAGCTGCCGATTAAAGTGCTGACACAATGGGTTGTAAGTGAATTATTATTTGCTATAGAGAAGATGAAAAAAAAAGTTCTTGTGTTACAGAAGTGGGGTAATCTCACAGGTGATGTTCATGGAGACAAAAACACCAAACACTGCGTTTAATTTGTCACCTCACTTTGATTCCAACATACGTTTGGTCCCCTCAGGAATAAAGTCTTCACGAACTGGAGGTGAATTTGAAACATGAACCAGGATTAGCCATGGTTAGCAAGAACACATCCAGAAGAGTCTGATAAAACCTCCTGGGCAGGAGTTCTGATATACATCTTAACTACTCTAGAGCATCTGAGGACACAACTCTAGCTAAAAAGAGGGTAAAAATCAAAATTTTCAGAAGAATAAGGAATAATGAGAAAGAATAATTAAATGAAGAATAGTAGTGATGCACTAGTAAACAAAGCAAAACAAAAAAATCACTCAGGAAAGTATGTGGACTTCCAGTTAGAAGAAAAATGCTCGCTGAAATTCTCAAGTAGTAAAACAGGGCTGATAAACATTAATTCTGCACAAAATTAAATTACATTAAAAAAAATAAAAAAGGAAAGAAGAAAAAAAGCAAGAGCAATGAGCCCTGATAGGGAAAATGACTGAATTAACATATCAAAGGAAGGAGATAGGAGAGTAATCCAGAGGGTAATACAAAAGAAAAGTTTAAGGGACACCTTGGGATAAGTTTTCTTTCAAGTACTGCACTTCCTAAAATAATAGGAGGGTTATCTAAACATGCCCATCATGCATCACAATTATTGGCTGACAGTTTTACTTACAGAAAGCTCATTACATAAGTGGAGAGTAAGTGCTCCCATGGAGGAAGCCTAATCGGGCAGCTCACATTGCAGGTGAGATTCGTGTCAGGGCTCGTTTTTATTTCAGACTCTAGGAGTGCACCAGGCTGCTCGTGGTCCTCAAAAGGAGTCGTTTGGTAGCAATTACAATCTTTACAACCACTGTTGCTATATAGCGCATCCCTGTTCACTGCAGGGGAGTTGGGCCAGATGACCTTTAAGGGTCCTTTCCAACTCAAACGACTCTGTGATTCTATGCTATATTATGCTATGATTAGCTTCATTGTTCGGTGTCATCTCTTCCCCTCCCCCTTCCCATTGCCACGGGCTGCGTCTGCCTCACTTCCCAGCTGCAGCAGCTGCAAGATCACCAACAACTCATAGTTCAAATGCAAATTTTGTGGCAACGTTTCCTTCTCGATACATGCTGAAATAAAGGCCTTGCAGGCTATTAAAACAGCACAAACAAGCTTTGAAGACAATTAATTAATTGTCACTTTGCGGTCATTTCTGTTGCATGATGCAGGTGCAGTCCCTTTGAAGGGACATGGCATTTGTCTGCCACGGAGATGAACCTGACTTCTATAGTAAATTATATCCTAATAAATGTTTGAGAAATAATGTGATTACTGGAAGCCTAGAGCTGGCACTGGCTGAAGAGATGCCTGGTTTCCACAACAGAAGAGCCTGCCCATAGCTGTACAGGACGGAAGGAGCCGCTCTCCTTCCCCAGCCCAGCTCCATGAGCGCCCTGCAGAAGCAGTAGAGCACTCAGGGAGGATTTGCTTGCCTGGGCTTTACTGAAAACGAGTGGCAGCAGATATTCATTCCCGAACTTCATTCCTCAACACGTGTGACAGATGATGCAGGTATCTCCAGATGACCGATCTACATCCAATAATCAAATATATTGCAGATATTATCATTAGATGAAATTCAGTCAGGAAGTTTAAATGGAAAAGGAAATCAGATAATTAAAACCCTGCCCTTAGTAATACATTTTTTTCCAAGTGACAACATCTATAAAAACCTCAGGCAGAGACATAAAGTGAAGCTGAGAGAGATCCATTGAAAACCAAATTAATATTTTAATTCTGCCAACACAGGAAAAGTCTCTAAACGAGATGAAGTTCAGAACGAATACCAAGTGCAGTGATTTATTGCCTTTTCTCTGTAATTTAAATGGCTGTTACTTTAATGTTTGCTAAATTCCTCCCATAGAGTTTCAGCCTAGGTTTCTCACAGAAGAGAGCATCCTGCAGCCTCAGTGCTCTCAACAGAGTTTCAAAAAAAAAAAAAAAAAAAAAAAAACCAACAAAAAAAGGGACACACCATTGAGAAGAAGCCAATGGCTTTCCAGAAGCCACATCAGAAGTCAACTCAACCAAAGGACTAGGGATGGAATTAATAGTAAAGCTTTCTTCATCTCTGTAACTGTGCTCTTAATCTCTAAGCAATATGAATGTGCTTGTTTGCCATACAGCCCACACTAACAACAAACTGCAAGATGTACAGTGAAGGATACTGCCCTACCTGTAGCTTGGCACAAGGCATTCCCAGCCAGATCAGCTGGCTAAATGCACCTTAAGTCATTCCTCCTGCTTTTCCCTAAAAGGGTGCTTATCTTAAACACATCCTCTCAAAAAGCAGTAAGCACTATCACTTGTACCTGCCAAGTGCTTTATAATGCTATCTAATTAACCTACATAAAGCTTCAAAGAGGTGAATATCAGTGCCCAGAGCTACATGGGCATAAGATGTTATCGGCTCCCATTGATGAAAACATTGCTGATACTGGGAAGGTGATCCAGGTATGTGCAGGATCCCTATGGCAGGATCCCACATCATGTCACGCATTACATCCCCTGTGTGGGGGAACATCTTGATATTTCATGCTGTAAATCATGCTGTCCTACTAATTTGGAAAAAAAAAAACAAACAACCACCCACACCACAGAGAGGAAAACTCAAAAACAAGCAGAAAAAATTATGAGCATTTGGCAGCTTTAAAGAGACTACAGCAAACACTATGTGAGGTTGCTAAAATTATAGTTTTAATTAACTGAAGATTAATTGTTAAATTAACTTAAATTTAATACAGCTGAGTGAGGTAGCACATTTATATGAATTGATCAAAAGCACAGTTAGCAGCCGTGTGCAGATCCATATTTAATAATGTGATTTTAATATTCAGTTGTCACTTAGCGTACAACCGCTTCTATTAAACGTGTACGATCGTTACAATTGCACTGTCAAGCCTTTCCAACATCCCCATCAGAGAAATAAAAATTTAGGGATGCTATTCCTCCCATCAAATTTATACACTTTGATATAATTGCATCAGCACATAAAGTACCCTGAATAGCAACATTTTATGACAAAGGACAGGAGAGAGTCATGCTTTTAAAATAACTTTGCTGTCAGCTGTGACTTCCATGCTGAGGAGCAGCTGAAGGAAGGCAGAACTGCAGCAAACACAGTCTGACCCCTGTGACGCCAGAAGAGCAAAGCAGAGCTGCTCTGAGCTGCCACCATCTATGCCCACATCCCAACCGTGTGGCAAATGTGGCAGCAAAGCACAGATTAGTACCAAGGGCCTGGTCTGAACCAGAGAGTGCTCTCTGAAAACACCAGATATGAGCACAAGGAAATAAGTTGGATGAAAATGCCCAAACGGGTGGAGAAGAACAGCAGCAG